ATGTGCTTCATCGTTATTTCCAGTTATTAATAAATCATCAATATAAAATATAACATCTTTCATATCACCGAAAATCTGATCCATGATTTGTGGGAATATAGCAGATGAAGTTTTCAACCCAAAAGGAAGTCTGGTAAATTGGTAGTATCCCTTATGTGTGGATATAGTTAAAAATTTTCTGCTTTTTTATCGATAGGAACTTGTAGAAAAGCATTTTGAAATCGATTTTGGTAAATTTTTTTCCTTCTGAAAGTTTAGCTATAAGATCATTTATACGTGGAAGTGGGTATCTAAAGTTTTAGAGAGCTGGGTTTATAGTGTATTTAAAATCTGCGCAAAGCCTGATGCTCCCATCATCTTTGTATACGGCGGTTATAGGACTCGCCCATCGCACATCATTTACAGGCTCAATAATTTTTTCGTGTATCCATCTATTCAGTTCTTCACCCACAAGATCAATCTTTGAATACGATATACGTCTTGGTGGTATTATTTTAGGTTGGGCGTCACATCTTACATGTAATTTGGCATTTACTTTGTTAATTGGTTCGCTAGTCAATTTGGATTCACAATCTTTAATAAGTTTATTGATTTCGTCTTCATAATTGGTGTCGACATTTCCTATTAATTTATTTAAAATATTTTTAAGGCATTGATCCAGATTCTTCTTAATAACGCGTTCTTTCTCGACTCTAAATTACTGCTAGTAAATATTTAGTGATTCCTTCATAACTTACTTTAACTTGAGTTGTCCCGATGATTTTAATCAAGTTTCCGTCGTAGGCTGTTAGCCGTAAACTGGATTTCTTCATTTCTCTTATGCCAATTTTTTTAGCCAAATCATGAGGTATGATGGTATACTTTTATCCAGTGTCAACCTGCATAGTTGTAGTAACATTATTCAATTAAAAAGTAGTCATAAAAGCACTGTCATCACCTTTGTCTGTATTTTCAGCCAGGTTGTTGACATTGAAATCATTCTCATTATTGCTTTTGGCAGTGCCAACTTTATTTTCCCCAACTTCTTCAATGTTCATATTACTATTGCTATCGTAGAAGTTTTGATTATCATACTGGATTTGTTTTCTTTGATTAAAATCCTTCCACTGATAACGATCGTCATATTCGATTTGTTTTCTATCATTATTATGTCACCTGTTGTTTCCTTCATTTACTTGAATTGTTGTTATAAGATCGGTAATTATTATGATTTTGATCGCCACATTGAATCTGTCTCCTCTGATTATAATTAAACGAGGCGTTGTTCCTACCATAGTTGTTGTTATAAGATTGATGATTATTATTATGAAGGTTTCTGTTGCTATTATTATTAGTGATCTGCATCGGGCCTAATTTTTCAAGCCCGGCCCGAAATTTTTTTAAAAAAGTTTTGCCGGCCCGGCCCGAACCCGAATTTTATTTTAAAAAAATTTACCGGCCCGATCAGGCCCGAATTTATTTAAATATAGAAATTAATTTTTATAATTACTTAAAATAAAAGACATATGTTATATAGCGTGTTTCAATAAATTAAATCAGAAAATTTTATTTTACATAAAAAATTCAATATAAAATTGATAAATTTAGATATGTTTAATAAAATTTCCAAAGTCCGACCCGACCCGGCCCTAAATTTTTTTAAAAATATTAGGCCCGACCCGGCCCGAACCCGATTATTTTAAATAGAATTAGGCCCGAGACGGGCTTTTTTTTTATCCAAATTGCAAATTTTTATTTTAAAACTTTATTTAAATCAGCATAAAGATATATATTGTCACTATAAAGTCATATAAATATGTAAATTTTTTTTATCCAAATTGCAAATTTTTATTTTAAAACTATTTAAATTAGCATAAAGATATATATTGTCGTTGTAAAGTCATATAAAAAAATTTTTTTTTTACTTTGTGTGTGTCCTTTATATCGAATAATTTTTATAATTTATTACATAATTCCAAAAAAAATTTTTTATTTTTTATATTTATCAGCATATGCACAATATATATGAGATTTTTTTATATATCATTGTGCGTGAGTTATCATACAGAGAGGGGCACCATGTTATATATCAATAACGGTTGGTGTTGTATGAACAAGAAAAAATGTTTTATTTATTATAAATTTATCTAAAACTAAAAATGACTAAAAATAACTATAAAATAAGGTATATATATATATATGTGTATTATAAAAAAAACAATTTAAACGAAATACATGGTTAAAGGATAACATGTTTAAAATAAAAGCAATTTAAATTAAACAAATTTAAAAAGTCAATCTCGATTAACAATATTCATTTTATTTAATTATCTTAAAAATGAAATTAACTATTCTAGCCCAGAACTAAGTATAAGAATTAAGAACATTTATAATACCCCCCCCCCTCCCTCCCCCAACTAAAATGAGCCATGTTTGTTTCACAGACAGAATCCAATGTAAATGTTTAAGGATTTTTCTGGGCTGGAATGAAATTTTTACTTCAAATATATTAATTATTAATGATCTTATCATTCAAACATAACATCAACTTTTATCTGACATAAATCATTAAATATGAAGAAAAAATATATAGATAACATTGATAGCTATTTATTAGATATAAATTCTAATTTTAAATTAAAATCTATATTTTTATATTATCATGCATAAAAATTTATAGTAAAAAAAGGAACAAAAGTGAAGCAGATAAACTTCATGATAAATCTTATAAAGAAGTTAAGATAGCTGGTGAAAAACCAAAACAGCAAAAGTTTTCTTTTTCCAATATAACAACTACAAACTTACAAAAATCATCTTCATTTCTTGAAACTTCTTTAGACTCTCCTTTATGCTCCAAAAAAGGTAATAATACAACGTTGGCTGACTGTAATTCATACCATATAAAGTCCACATAGATCACATATTAAAAAAATCATCCATCTTTATGTTTATTCAAGTATCTTCACCCATTATAAATTTTGGATCATGTTCTAATATAACATGACTTTTCCTCAAACCACAAATTTTAAAATACCATATTTAATAACAAGAGATATAACCTCTATTACAATTACATCAACAATATGCTCATCATATTCTTCTTTACCTTTAAATGATAATACTTTTAGCAATATAAAAGAAAAATTATTTTCATTTTGCCTCACTCCTGTGCTTCAATTATTTAAGACCAAACCTTTTGTGGCCGACGCGGGATTTAGTCAAATGCTATCAATTTTGAGCCGTGCGCAACAACATATTATTATTATTGCATCAAGCTCACTATCAGCAGACCATTGCATTATCAATAGTTTACATATAGTACTTTTTTTTTAAATATATTACATTTTTATATTTCGTTTATTATAAAAATATTCCAGTTTATTTAATTTCTATCAATATATTATTTTTTTGTTCTATAAATATTTTGTTAACAGATTTTTTTCTCAACAATTCAGATTTAGCAAATATATTACTAGTAATAATATGAATTATGATATAAATTAATTCTAATATATAAAAAATATGGGTAGATTATATTAGATCATTTATTTATTACGGGTTGGCGCGTTGTCAGCCATTAATTGAATAAAATACTATATGTAATAATCACAAAAATTTATAAATTAACGAAGATTAATGTGTTCAACTCAAAGGACGAGTAATTGTTTTAAATAAAACATAAATAGTAAAAAGAAAAATTATATTAAATTTTAATATAATGTAATAGATTTCAAATAAAATTTTATAATTCCCGGCCGCAGGCCGGGTATAAGCGGGCTGTAAGCCCGTAAACGTCTCCCTACTATGGGGCCTCTCTTAGAAATCTCCCACGGGGCCTTTAGTCTCCCAGTAAGCCCCTGACCATAATTTCCGAATTTTTAAAAATAGTTATTTCCATGATAATAGTTTAATTTCTTTCATATAAAAATATTTATAAATATATTCAGTTTGGAGCAAGTGCTTTTTTTGTTACAAGTATAAAAGAGATATAAAATGACTTAGAAAAAAAAAATTAAATTAAGATATTTCTCTTTTTCGATTTATACTGCTATAATTATATCATATCGATTTTCTTAGATGTAAAGATTAAGGTAATTTAAAGGATATGAAAATAGATTTATATTTGATTTTAATTATTGAACGTTACTAATAATGTTTAATTTATCTTTAGGTTACATGGGAGATTATTGTGAAAAGAAGGAACCTATTCATTATGGACCTTGGTTGATTTTTACTTTATTAGCTCTATTTCTATTTATATTATGCTTCTTAATGATATTTTGGGTTTTTATGGAGAATACAAGCTCTAAAAGATATACTTTACCCGATATTGAAATAATAGAAATAGAAACATTTGATAGTTCCTTTGATTTAATAAAAAAAGATTCAAAAAATTGTATGATGAAAAATAAATTAGTTTATAATTACAGTAATTCAAAAGGTATTTTAAATTTACTCGATGATGATGAATTTAGTGTTCGTTCTATTCACTCTGTCATACTTACAAACAAATACTCAAACCCTGAAGAAGACGTTGAGATATTTTTTAATCCCGATGATTTTTCAAATCAAATAAAAAGCTATAGGCCTGTAAGTGATATTAATGAAAGCGAAAATAATAAACAAAAAGGAAAAAGTAGAGTCAGAAAATTGAAAGAAAGGAAAAAATATGTGGATCAAAAAAATAAATTAAAATCACAGGAACATCTAAAACTAAGTATACATTCTTTAGAAACATCTCAAGATATATCGGATGAAGAAAAATTGTGGATTCCCCTAAGACCTTCTCCAGAAAGCACTGATTCTAAAATTGTTGCTAGCAAGGTTAACAAAATTATAGAAGACGATGTTATCAACGAAGAAATTCATGATATTGAAAAAAATAAAGATATTCTAAGATATATAATTAAAAATATGAAAGATGTATCAACTGATATTCAAAAACAATTAAATAAATATGTAAATGCTTCATAATTGTATCGCAGCTGTATTCATAAAATCAGATATATATTCGTATAATAAATAAACATATGAGATTGGTATTATTTTCTATATACATTCATTTGATTTGAAATTCTATTTTTACCTGAACGCGAAGGTAAACTGCTGTGTAATAAATATGAATATTTTTAATTAATGAGTACTATTTTTCATTAAAAGCGATTATGATACACGCATTTGGTCACGAAATAATAATATTTTTAAGACTTGGTTTGTTAATTCTCCTTTATCATTTTAAATTTTCTAGGGTTTGTAAGTTTTATTGTAAATAACTGCAAACTAACAAACAGTTTTATATATGATATGTAATTAATTCAATACATAAAACTATTTAAGAACCAAAAGAACTCTTTATTTTTCTTCCATTTTATCTTGATGTTGGATTAATATGTTGTATTAGTTAAAAATAAATATGTTTTGAAGAAGTCAAAAAATATTATAAATGATCATATATTATTCTTATTTGTTGTATTTATATAGGTAAAAAAATATTTTAATGTCAGCATATACATGGAAAAATTTTTGGTCTGACCTAATCTGGGTATTTTTTTAAAAAAAATATTGGGCCCATCCTCGGTATATTTAAAAAAAATTAAAACTGGCTTGGCCCATGTACACAGGCCAGTCTTATGGCTGGACTTATAGGTCCGGTATTTATATAAATATCTTTTTTTGTAAACTAAGTTTAGAAAGAAAAAATAAAAAATTTGAATTAACAAATAAAATATATATGAGTTCTATTTGGAATTATAGTTTTTATTACACATTGTGTCATTGAGTAAATCTTAAAAAAAAGAAAATAATTTAAAAATGTTTATAATTAAATATTAATTAATACTTACATGTTGCTCTACATGAGAGTTTTTTAGCCTTCTAAGGTCGATCTTTACATCCTTTTTACCCTATTGGGGTGTTTTTGTTTGCTGGAGGTTTACTGCAGTTTAATCTTATAACCAAACCAACATGTGCTTACACATGAATAATTAAAAAAAGATGGGGTAATAGCAAATTCCTTTGTTCTAATCATCTTTTTTTGAGATAGCTTTACAAACCAAACGTTACTCTGCTTGATACTTATTTGCAGAGTTGAGCAGGTCCTTTGGAAAAAGAATCTAGATTCAGATACAGATTCTTTGTGAAAAAATGAATCTTAGATACAGATGCTAGTATCTTTTGCTTAATTAGAGTATCTTAAATACAATACTTTTAAATTATCATTACCAATTAAATTAGAATAGCTTATAAAATACTGTTTTAATAAATATTTGTGAAGAACATAACATACACATATAATAAGAATGAATATTTACAATAACAAATAAAACATTTAATGGTGAGTTAATTATAATATAGCCCATTCTTAGCATAGATTGAGAAGGGAGACTAGTATTTTTATGGGAGTTGAAATATTAATTTGCAAAAGAGTATTTAAAATACATTCATTATTTTATAAGATAATCAAATTTTTCAAATAATTTATCATTAGACCTTTGCCGTTTCGCCATACTTAACATTGTGCCAAAACTAAATAACCTTTCAATTGATGCTGATGAAGGTATTACAGTATTATATTTAAAAAAAAATCCGTAAAGGGGATAATAATTAAGCATTTATAATGTATTTCTACTTTCTTTAATATAATTTAACTTCCAATTTTATTTTGTATGATTGAACTCAGCAACATTTGCTTCACCAAAAGAAAAATCATCATCATTTTCTTTATTAGATGTTTTATCTATTGGTGTTATAGTTTTAACTTGATTATATACATTGGTATTACATTTAGGGCTTCTATTATTTATATAATCAACCGACTCAATCCATAAGTTCTTAAAATATGAATGTGATTTGATGCCAAGAAAAGCTTCATTATATTCAAATCATATGAAAATATTTTCTTAAAATATTTTGCCCATACCATCTTGGAGAGCTTTTAATAAAGGTAGACAATATTGTAAACTTGAATTTTTAAGATAACTTATGCCCCTTTTAACTACACATAAATAATATACTTTAATAAGTTTAACAAAATTTGTCTATTTTAACTATTTATCATTTTTTTTGTTTATACAGGTTTTACATCTAACCAGTACATTGTCTTTTTTAACTCTTATTTTAAAAAAAATTAATTTTAAGATTGGGATATGATTCAGGGAACTTATTTCTAAAATTTAAATTTTACTACCTTCTTCTTCACTCTCATGAATGTTAATCATCCTACAAATTAAAAAATTAAATAAAATTGGTAATGATACTCTATCTTTATATATAAAATATTATCTATACTTATTTCGTTTTGGTTTTGTTATTTTTTATCTATCTACCTTAATATGAGTTGTAAATTTTTCACCTTTGGCTGTCAATATATTAAAATATGGTGGAAAAAAATAAGGAAATTAATACAAGATTCTCATATACTGTGAGATGTAAAATTTTAAACATGAATTTAAAAAGAGTCTGTATCTGTATCTTTTGTCAATAAAATGAAAAAGATACAAGATTTTTTTCAGAATAAAGAATCTTAGATACAGATACTAGTATCTTATTAATAATGTCAAAAAGATACTGAGTACAAAATACGAAAGGATCTTGTATCTTAGATACAAGTATTCGCGGTACTGCCCAACTCTGCTTATTTGATTAAAAGAACTCTTTTTAAATATTATCATCATTAGAATTATAAAAAAAAATTCTTGCTCATAGTTCTCTTTTTTTAAAACTAAATTACATCTAAAGTAAATTTTCTTACCATCTTAGGTATCTTTGATATATGATTGTTCCCCACCATTTTATAATATTTTTTTTTAACCTATATGCTTAATTTATGCTTAATTTTTACTTTTCCATTCTTATTATTGCTGGTTCTTCTTATTAAACAGATGAATCTGAATAATTTGGTTTCATTACAATTGAGCCTGAGTTATTTAAATCCAATTCCAAAGTTAGGCTAGATTCATAGTGGGTTCTAACATACAATATTCTTTTTATGATTTTTCTCCTTATATTGTAATCTTTTACATTCATTTCTAACATTTTCATTCTCTTAATCTTTATTTTTTTGTCTTTTATCAATATTTTCTTCTCATTTTTGATAATTCTTTTTAGGAATTACATTTAATTTTCACTAAATTTTTGGCAGACAGTTTTTTTATATAATTTTTTACATATCAAATTATTTAATTACAATTACGATATATATGTATTATAGAAAGAAACAAAAATTTATATTAATCATTAATAATTTCCCCTCTTCTACATTTTGGAATATGGGTCTCCTTATTTCTAAAATAATTGTTTGCATTCTCCTCTTCTTCTCTCTCCATGCTTTATGAAACGAATTAATTCTTACTCGTTACTGGGATTTTGATTTCTGACAAAATCCTTCCATTGAAAAAACACATTTTCAATGAGATTAAGATAAGGACTGTAAGGTGGTAAGTTTCAATGTATGCCCTCTTCTTTCTATCGATTCCCTAATTGTATGCTTATGACGAAATGGAACATTATTCACAAAAATCATATTCATTATGTTACCTTCTTCAAAAGGATTTAATATTTCATTTACAAAGTTGCTAAAGTATATAGCGTTGCATGGGCTATCAAGAACTTTTAATCTGAATATGCCTGCAATTATGAGAGCAGCAACATTGTCTTTATCCCTTGAACATTTTTAATAGTATTTTTATTTATTTGTGAATGTCCATATAACTGCCTCATTGATATTTACCCGCTCTCATCGATAAATATAAATTTTTCTTTCATATATCCTACATCTACAAACCAATTCGCGTATTCTTTGCGAATTTCGATATTTGATTCGGTATTTTCTCTAACTGAACGTAGTGATACTCTTTTAAAGCTATACCTAAATCCTGAGAGGAACCTTGATATCATATTTTTTGATATTTCCACATCCTATCTTTCTTTAATCATTTTACATAACTTTTTTAAGGATAAAGTGCAATCCAAATTTATACAATTTAATATATATTCTTCCTGTTCTTGATTTAATTTCTTGCGTCCACGTCACCCTCCTTTGGGCAAACTATATTTTATTCCATTTTTGAGATGGGAGTATTTAATATTTGTCACTGTCTTATAGCTAACTTTAAAATATAATGCTATGTTTTTGAGACTAAGGTGAAGAAATATAACGGAAAATTTATAAATTATTTTTAAAAAGACAAAAGAATTATCAAAAATGAGAAGAGAAATAAATTGTGAAAAGATAGTAAGAAAAATAAAAAAAAAGAAAGCAAAAAGTTAGAAATAAAATAAGAAGGAATAATAAAAATTTAAAAAAAATTGACAAGAAAATTTTTTTTTAAAATATTTAAAAAAATGACTGAATAGGAATTTTCCTCACCTTTTGGGAATTTTTCTCTTTTGATTGACACTTTTCCTTTTTTGATCAGACTTCTTCCTAAACATTTGTGACTTTTCCTTTTTTGATTGACACAACCTTTTTTGATTGTGCCTTTTCCTATTTTGATTGTGCCTTTTCCTATTTTGATTGAACCTTTTCCTTTTATGATTTATCCTTTTCCTTTTTTGATTGGACCTTTTCCTTTTATAATTTAAACTTTTCCTTTTTTGATTAGGACTTTTCCTTTTTTGAATAGGAAACCCTGTAAAATGAAATTTAACATTTCAATTATGGTCTTGCGTCATATTCCCCCTCCCCGCGTATAGATATTCATGGACGACCTAAACAGATGTATAGAGTATACTTGAATAATAGATAAAAATCGGCGAATTCGCCTCAATTTTTAGACGGCTAAGAATGGAGGCATGAGTTCATTTATTCTAGCTTTTTTGTTCAAAGTTGACTAAAAACTAGGCCTTCTTTTTCTAACCGGTTAAAAAGGAAGAAATTGCATTACTATAATACTAAGCATCACTTAGCACACCCACAGATGAGCTACTAATCTTAAATCTTCAAATGGTTATATCGAAGACTAGCGTAAATTATTAAATTCGATTTGCTATTTGACCCGAAATTTACTACTTCGAATAACAAATTATTCGATTGGAAAAATACGAATAATAATATTTAAAAAATCTGACTAATAATAAATTTAAATTACTCGTATGAATTATTCGTGTTATTCTTAAATAAAAATCATAAATTTTAGTGAATATTTGAATTATTCGTTAATTTTAGAAATATATGCTAATATTCACAAATAAATTTTTCTTAAATTAAGCCACTGTAATCAATAATTTTTTAATTGCTATAGTCACTTTTTGGAAATTTTCCTAAAATAAGATTAAAATAAATAGTAAGGCTGTGCCGATATTTAATATTGGATCGGCATCGATATTTAATATAAGATCGGCGCCGATATTTAGCGTTTTCAAAAATATCGAATAGGGCTGATTTTTATAAAAACGATCCGTTCCGATATTTTTTTATTCCGTTATTTTATAATTGCATATATAATCATATAATTTTTTTATTTTATAAATAATTTCATAATAATAAATTAATGAAAGGAACTAAAATACAATTTATTTGTTGTAATGTTTAAAAAAATAGTTTAAATTTTACACTATTTTTTGTTATATTATCTCATTAAGAAAAGGATTTTAAAACATCTACACATTCAGTTAGTGTTGCTAAACGGCTCTATTTAGTCAATTTTAAAACCATTAATTCAAAATATTAGCCAAAAGTAAATTACCCATGATTTTTCCCACAGATATCAGAAAGGCTTGGACTTCTATTGGCGAAATTTCGAAGCATAGGCAATTATATTTTGGTTAAAATATATATTTATGACATTGATAGAAAAATAGATGGTAAATAAAAATCAATATAAATATCGGATCGGTATCGGAATTGGATCGTAATATCGGATCGGATTCGTGAAAAATTTGTGGATCTGCACAGCCCTAATAAATAGTTATAAATGATAAAAATGCGCAATCAGGAGAGGAAATAATAGGAATCTTCTACATCTTGTGTAGTGTTGTTAAACTGTTCTATTTAGCCGATTTTAGATGTAAAATAAGCAAGCTTCGAGATTTTGTTAGATGTCCAAGCTACTATCTGAGCTACTATCTGTGAGCTAAATCTTTAGGCTTGCATAATATTTTTTGTAAAATATTGGGTTAGACGTTTTTATAATTCGAGCCGTTTAACAACATAATCTTTTGGGTGATTCTTTATTTAAACACAAACTTGATTATCAAAAATTGCATGTTTCTTAATAAAGAAACAATTAGGGAAAATATACACCTGATGCAATATAATACTTATTTTATTTTTTTTGTTTTGTATAAAATATATCATTAATTGGTTTTAAAAAATATTTGTGCGAATTATAATACAGGTATTCGATCAATTCTTTTTTTATTTACATTATTCGATTCTATTTTCTGATTGAGATTCCTAGCACATTAGTCACTTCACGATTATCCTATCATTAAACAAATCATTTTATTATTATAAATATGATATATTGTTCATTATGCTTTCCCTAGTTCTCATTTTCATTATGTCAAAACCAATAACCACAAATTTACGTTTTTATTTTTAATAAAAATATTTTTAAATTAAAAATATTATAAATTTAATATAATAATAAAAAATATCATATTTTCCCATTTATTATTATTAAAAATTAATAGATTTAATATAAACTCTGTCATTAATTATAGAGAATTATTTTGTGTTTGTGCCTAATATTTCATTTAAAATTTAAATTACTAATACCTTTTTATTTGAAGGCAAAAACTAATTTTTTTTTTTAAATTGTAATAAATATATAAAAATATTTTAAAAAAAATCAATAAAAAACATCAAGAGAAATTATATTATATATTTTTTGGATAATTCTTACCTGCATTTTTTTTATTAAATTTTTGAATTATTTAATTTCCAATAACTTTTATTAGAAAGAATAAAGTGACGACTCAAATTTATAATAACAATTTTCAAGCTTGGAGGCTGTTTAGCTCTATGGTGAGCGTACGCATATACAATTTATTCGAAATTATAGTCTATATCAAAAAATTTATGCCCTAAGCTCTTCTCTAGAATTTTTTCCATTAAAAATCTAGCTTGATCCAAATTTTTGGGCTACTTAATAATGACCTTTGTTGAATTATTGATTGACATGATAATTTTTTAATCGGTTAGCCTAATTTACTTTACAATCTGAATAAGCTAGGACACAGCCAAATAAGTTACGGAAATATATCTTATATTAAAAAAAAACCCCAGCATTTTTTTGTTAAAAACATTGACTTGATAACCTTTATATTTTTTTACCTGTTTTATTACCGATATAATTCATTGAATGTAGAATTTCATTTACTTAATTACTTAAATATGTAGCCTAAAAGGTAATATATATATATATCTTTACTTAAAATTTTTTTAAAATAATTTATTGTGCATTTTATATTTTACTTTCCCATTTATTAAGGTCATTTCTTTATATTTTATTAAAAATTATGAGGTAAATTATTTTGACAGGAAATGGGTTTAATTGATTTATTTTCATATAATAATAATATAATTCACACTTTACAATAAATAATTATTTAATTTTAAAACCCTTTAATTTACTTTAGTAAAACTAAAATATAAACTTACAGGAAATAAATATAATACTATTCAATGAAACCCTTTGAAAATGTCAACATTCTTATTTTGACCCTCTCGGTCTTTTACTTTAAAACTCTTATCAAAATTTATGTTTTACATATTGGCCAATCTATATATTGTCCAGAAAGCTTCCCCCTTTTAATTCCCGAATGTTCACCTTATGAGGGTTTTACTATTTTTTAAAATTATATAACAATAAATAATGATATGAAAGGAAAGGTACAGGGTTGCCAGGTCTCCCCCCCCCTCAGTAGAAGATTCACTTTTTTAGTTTACACGAAGACATCTTACTACCGCAATTAAATTCTTCCGCACAATTTTTTTTTTAGCATTTTAACTTTTTTTATATATAAATAATAATTTTGAGAAACAGTAATTAATTATTTTTATATTTTTAAAATAAATTTTATATATTTATTCAAATAACATGTGTAGTTTGTAAATTTTTTTCCCTTACCTTAATCATATGTTTTATTTTTATCCAATAATAAATCAACATCATTCAATCATATTTTATCATTTTCATGTGTGTTTGAACATTATAGGAATAGTCGCTTAATTATCACGCATCACGATTAAATACATAATAAGGTAATATTGTACTTATTTAATAATTTTATTTATTATAGTTCAATCACATTATTATTATAATCAGTGCAGGGGAGCGTATCTACATCTATTGCAATACAAAAATTATGCTCCAAAAATAAGAAATAATACAGATGCAACTACAGTTGCGGAAATGGTATACACTTATTATGTAGTACAACATTCACAGAGCTACTTATCATCACAATGTGGGCCGAATCTTTTCCCCATAATATAATGACCCCAATATAAGTGAAAATTTTACTTGTGAAAGAACAAATATGAACAAGGCTATCACCAATGTTTTAGGACCTGAATCCAGGAGGTCAATTCTTGACGATTTGAAAGATGGACATTCATATGCAATTCTAACAGATGCATCTATTAAGGGAAATATTAAATTATTTTTCTTGATCCTCCGCTATTAAACAAAAATAAGGGCGTTTCAATAAAACTATTAAATTTTTTTTCCTCAGTTAGTGAAAAATCCAAAGACATAGCTAACCATATAATGGTAAATATAGTAGATTCGAGATTATCGATGAGTTACATGTCAGCTGCGCTGATAATGCCTCAGTGAATTTGGAAAAAATTAAAGTATATTTACAGAATTGAGGCACCACAATGTTGATTTAATACCAATTGACTATATGCCATATACTACATAATTGTTGCAAGAAGGCAATGAATGTATTATCTGTGGATGTCGAAATAATTGTAATGTAATGTTTTGACAATTTAGTTCATCAACTAAGAGAGTTAATGAATTAAAAGAGTTGGTTGAGTAGTCTGACTTGGAATGGTTTAAGTTGTTGCGACATATCCCTATCATGTGGTTATCATTAATACCCGTCATCGATAGAATTTTAAAATTTTACGAACCTTTAAAACAATATCTCTTAAATAAAGAATATAAAAGCTGTCCTAAAATTTTTCCTAGAATGAAATGGCAGAGGCATATTAAGGAATATTTTCACGTGTAAGAAATCTATCACACGCTGTTAATCAGAAGAATCTTTTTTAATAAGATTCACAAAATTATGCTGCAGCTGTGTTCATCTTTACAGTTAAAAATTGTCAATAAATTTTATGGCGGTATTGCTAAAAATATCATATTAAAATGTTCAAATATTACTTTAATTAATGTATTTTTAAATGTTGCAAATATTTTTATTAAGACAATTTTAGAATATTTGCAATCAAAATTTGATTTCAATAACTCGATTTATAAATGTATAGAAATTATGACCTTGGAACAGAAACCTCAATTGATTGTTCTTGTAATTTAATAAATATATTAAAAATACCTATAGACATTGATGTCTTGTTTGAGGAGATTGTAATGCTCTATATTTTTTATGATTCGCCAGAATACTCAAAGGGATGGTATAAAAGCAGAGAAGTGGGTGTAATTTTTTTGAATTGATGATAAATCCCCATGCTTGGGAAAAATATGTGAGTATGTTTTCTCCTTACCTCATTCTAGTGCCTCGTGGAACACATTTTTAGCATGATGAGGACTGCCTGGAGAAAGGAGAGAAATCGGGCTCTAACAACATTAAAGGCCGAGTAATGGTTAAACAAAATTATAATGTCATGCCAGCAATTTTATAAATATCTCAATAACGACGATAAGCGTTTAGTTTCATTATTTAAATCTCAAATAAAATATAATTATTTTTTTTTATATTTTATAAAACCTTATTTATATATTCGCATAAAATAAATATATTTTTTAATTTAAATTAAAATCGTTTGTTTTTTTTTATAAAATTTTATCTATAATAGACAAATTAAATCTGACAAAATGATAGTATAAAAATAAAATCATGTCCAAAACATAATTCTAGAAAATTCAAGAAATTTAACAAACAACGACTTCATATATATGAGGAAGAAGGGGGGGGGAATTTAAATAATTTAGGGAAGAAGAAGAAAATCTAGATTAATCGGGCTCCTCCGGAAATGAAGCATGTGAAATTAGATTTTATAATCTGAATTCCTATGCGTTGACGTAAGTAGACGCCTTCTTTTGGGTTTTTTGATTTAGTTCTTAAGGCTCTGCCAATCTTTTTAATTAGGCTAAGAGCCTGACTTCCAAAGGATGGTCCTGACAACTGGTACGAATTTATACTCATCTGGAATATTAACATATTTATTTGTTTTAATATCTTCGGTGTATTTTAAAATGTCCTTATTGATGTTGGAGGGCGAGAGGGGGTCAACGCAGGAGAAATCCCACGCTAGAAATCGGCCATTCTCCCAAGGAATTTGTGTAATTCCATCGGGTCGTCTCCCATCCGTAAAGAGACCTGGGGGTTCTAAAGTGTCAGGAAAGTCTGCGGACTGTAAAGCTCGTTTTATGAGAGCATTGATGCCGGATTGAGCGTCCACTGCTAAAGATGCATTGGAGGCAATGACGACCAGTTTGACTTACTAGCTTTTTGCACTTGGCGCACTTATATGAAACTGAGGCTGTTACATTTAAGCGAATGGCTACAGCAAAACTGAATTCTTGATTTGAAAGTTCGAGATCAAGATTTTTAGAGGGGATGGCATCCAAGTATTCATGTCCTGAACCTGCGGGAAGCTAATAGGGCATGATCTTCATATTGCAGGATCGAACCAATCCTTTTGTTTATGGGAGGCTGGTGGTTGACATTTATCTCCGACTGAGACTTTCCATATGTCATAGGCTTCGTCAAGCAGTGCATCTGGCAAGGACAGGTGATCAGTTATTATTTTGGAGCTTGCCAATCTGGACGAGATGAAACCACTAATTGATAAGGCTATGGGTGATTGTAACCCTAAGCCTCCTTTATTGCAGGGGAGAGTGGCTTGATGCCACGAATTAGAGTTAAATATGAGATTAGTTATTTTTTCCATGATGTTTTAATTATGGATTCATATGCTCTTAAGGGTTTAGGATGTTTAAAAACTGCAGTTGACCGTAGAGCATATAGGATCTTTGGTATATTGAAGAAATTTTTAAATAAGAAGAAAAATTTATGTGTGGGAAGTTGCATAAGTAGTTCCTCCATATTGTTTAAATTATTCGAAGCAGCCTGGAAAAAGTCTTCAACTGCTAAATTCCAACTGGTGAGCCAAGATGTGTTAGTTCTTAAGCCATAACCTCTTTAAAGGCGTGGCAGTTGGGAGATTTAGAGGTGAGCTGACAGAATTCTGTTTTGTCGACGTTTAAGAGAAGGCCTATGTCTGGCCCATCCTTTTGCAAAATTTCTAGGGCTTTGTCTATCTCTTCTGGGCTTCCGCTTATAATCCCGTCATCTATGTACCAGATATGAAGATCTAATAGGCAGCTGCTTTTAATTTTTTTAGCTAGATTGCCTATTCCTAGACAGAATAATATCGACCCTAGGGGATCACCTTGTAAAATTCCTTCTGAAGAAGAAAACCTATATTCACCATACTGTAAGATGGATAGATTCGCATAGCAGCTTAAAGTGTAGCTGGAGTAGCATGGGAAGCTATTGATGAAGGATTTTAGGCAGACAGACCTTTTTATTGTGTTATATTGATAAAGTCAATTTTAATTAGGTATTTATTTAGAGGATTATTTTGGAGATAGATGCGGGTTATATGAGCGGAAGACTCACAGCCGCCTTTGACACCAACCCCTAGTTGAGTTAAAGTGAGAATTGTGGAGACTTTCTCATTGATTCGAGCCGAAATTAATTTTGATACTAATCTCCTAAAGAGGGTGCCTATGGCAATTGGGCTTAGGTCTTTGTTGGGTTTTGTAAGAGCGATTAGTTTTGCTCCAAACATAATTGGCTGGGCAAGTTAGGAACGTCACCATGTAAGATCCTGTTACAAAGGAGAGTTATACTGTTGAGTAGGGTAGTTTGAGAATTTAGAAGAGCAAAACCATGTGCAGAATCTTTTTGGAAGGTTGAGATTGCTTTTCTCACTTCCTCTGGAGTAAATTCTATTGGAAGATGTGGGATTTACACCAGGTAATTCAGTTGTAGATGCCTGATGTGGAAGGTGCTTCATAACTAATCTTGTATAAGTTTGAAAATATGGGGGCTAGTGTGTCTGATGAAGAGGCTAGACGAAGTGCCCCTTTTATATCTAAATTATCGATTTTTTTCCTACTAAATTTACTTTTATCTTAAAAGGATTTATGAATAATTTAGGTGTGGAGGTTATGTCCATTGAAATGTTGTCTACATCATTTAACCTGTTCTTAATTTGTTGAGTGAGGGACAGTTTGCTTTTGTCAGTTGGAACCTGAAAGGCATGGAAGCCAAATAAGAAAATTTTTTCCCAGTGCTGTGGGAGTTAAAATTGGTTAGAAGGTTATTAATAGTTTTACTATATGATTTAGCCGCAAGAAGCCTGGCTCCCCGGGGGATTCTTGAGATAATATGAGATTTAGGTAAATTTGTAAATTCATCGGAGAAAGAGGGTATTGGTAACTCATTGTAAGTACAGAGTGAGTCCTCATTAACAGATAAATTATTAATTGTGGTGAGAGCTGGGATATGCGAAGGGGATGTTAATGTTAAATGCAATAGAGAAAATGGAGGAGGAATAGAATCTGTGAAAGGTGACTGATGTGATAAATGACACCAGTTACCACTTTTACCGTGCTTCCTTAGGGTTCCGTTTTTGTTGATTAAGGTATGTAGCCCACAGTTTGGACATTTTTTTAAAATTGGGATATGTGTGGAAGGGAACATTTATATTTATAGGGAGTGGGGCAAGGTGGGAAAGGGAATTAAAATTTTTGTATTATTGTTTTTCTTAGAAGAGTGGGAAATATAAAAAAAAAATTATAAATAAGAAAAAAAGGACTCGAAATAAAATGTTGAAAATTATCGGTAAATTTATTTTATTTTAATTAAATGGACGTTAAGAGGATGTTATTTAAATAAAAAAAATAAACAATAAGCAATTAACACTGACGTGATTGGGCCATTAGTAAGTAAAAATGGTGGATAATAATAAATTTGAAATGACGCAAAATTTTTCGTGGAAGAAATAAATATTATCAGCGAAACAAAAAAAAGGCACGGAAATATCCGATATGAGAAGGGAAGTCATTTTTTTGAGACTCTTTGAAAAATTATTGATAATTATTTATTTTAATCAAGAGGACGATGAGAAAAGATAAATATAATTTGAATTTGTTTACATTCTTTTATATTTGAAAAAGATCGTTGGTTTTTTATAATAATATATTTTAATAAGTAAAGATGTTGTTTTATTAATAATAGTGATCTGCATCGGGCCTAATTTTTCAAGCCCGGCCCGGCCCGAACTCGAAATTTTTATTAGAAAGTTTTTCAGGCCCGGCCCGAAGCCGAATTTTTTTTAAAAAATATTTGTTGATCCGGCCCTAATTTATTTAAATATAGAAATTAATTTTTATAATTACTCAAAATAAAAGATATATGTTATATGGCGTCTAGTTTCTATAAATAAAATCAAATTCATAAAAATTTCTACATAAAATTGATAAATTTAGATACATTTAAAAAAAATTTCAAGACCCGACCCGGCCTCAATTTTTTAAAAAAATATTAGGCCCGACCCACTTCGAATCCGATTTTTTCCAAAAAACTAGGCCCGGCAGATCTCTAAAAGATATTATTTAAAAAAAATTTGTCTCGTTTGATTAAATTATTTTCTTTTTATATATACATAAATAAATTTACTCCACTACAAAGAAGTTATTTTGAAAAATATTACCTATTTTGAAATTATAAAACGTTACTGATTTTGTTAATATTTATATAAAGTAATTATAAGAATTAATAGGGGGATCATTAAAATAATTCACAATTATTTTTTTTATCAATTTTCATATTTTACCCGCAAAATACCAAATTTCTGCAATTTGAAAATTTTGACCTGGCAACCGTGGAAAGGTATAGTTTTACTTCTAGATTGTTTTTATTTGTATATTTTATTATAAATTTGTGTTTGTAAATAAAATGTTTAGTAATTGCTTTGCTTGTGGTTTTGCTAATCTAAAAAAAAAAAAATTAAAAATATAAATAATGATATATTTATTATGAGTTTTTTTTATTTGTTTTCTTTGATTTCATAATAATTATGAATAATATTTTATTTTATTGTTAATATTGTTAATTGAGTATTTATATTTAATATTAAATAATTAATGAGATATTTGGTATTTTTTTATAATTAATTAAATATTAATAATTTCAAAAAATATGCCAATTATTTATATAAATTAATGATTAAATTGATTTTTAAATTTTTTTACCTTTTCATTTTATCTTATAACTTTCACGGATAGACCTCTCATTAATTTATCATTTTTTTTATTAGAAAATTTCTCGCAAAAAGATAGATAACTACGATACTTTTTTGGATGCCAGAAAAGCCCAAAGCTCATCAAACTGAAAATAACAAGAAGGAAGGATCTCTAGCTACGAAGATTTATCGAAAAATTTGCAGAAGCATTTCTCATTCGAATGCTAATGACCTTTCGTTAACTAATATGAACCTATCTTCTAAGGAAATCGATCCGAATCTTGATGATTTGAATAATGACAATGCGATCGATGGTCACAAGAATTCTCAAGACCGGTTATTAGAGGGTAATGAGAGACAAGAAAGACTAAAAGATAAGGGGAATAAAGGAAATTCTGGAAATGGGAAGGAAAAAAAGAATGAAGCCGAAATAAAGTATTCCGGAGAACAACCCATATATTTTAAGAATTATCAACACGGCGATGGAGTTTATTTAAATACCGAAAATAAACCCATAGATGGAACAACACCACCCATCAAAGTAATCAGCAGTCCCTCGTCTTCCAAAACTGCTTTTTCCCACAATTCCGGTAAAACTAGCGGACCACGTTCTGGTAAAAAAATTAGCAAAAATGGCGAAAGTGACGAGAAAAAAAAGAGAGGCGGGAGTTTTGATAATACGGGAGAAGGTACTTTGTTGTTAGTTAAAAATTCCAAGAGGAAGATTAGTCACCACGATTTTAACGATGGTAGTGTGAGAGATGCAAACATCAAAAATGAAAATGACAATAGGAAAGAAAATATAAAAAATGGTGATGTTCGGAAGGATAATGGAGACGAGGAGCTTATTTCAAAAGTAAAGTCGGAAGTTAATAATAATAATAGTAATATTAATCAAGAAAAGATTAAAAAATCTTCAAGCGCCAAAGGTGACATTTCTGGCAATAATGGAGCTGGTGAAGATGGTAAAATTGGAGACTCATCATTACCCGGACTATTGAATTCTTCGGCTATTGCTAGAGAAAATAAGTATTTTTTTTATTATTTGAAAATTCTAATACGATATGATACTTGTAGGTATCAAAATTTGTAGGAGGGCATATATTACTCTTTTTCAATATACAACCACCTTCATTTATCATTATTTTTTAAATTAAAAAAATATATAAAGGCGTTAATTTTTTAAAATGGTTCTTTAGGACATTACAATCGTATATAAAAAATTTGAAATATTTATTTTCCTCCATCCATTTCGGAATATTACAAGATTAAAAAGTGGGGCGTGATTCAATAAAAAATACCACTTAATTATATCATGTTTCTGCCGAATATATTTTTAGTTTAATTATTTTTGAAAATCATTTGACCTTTAAACTTTCCCCAATTTCATGCTTCTGGTCTCTTATGACTCGCAGAAAATGTTTAAAAGCCTCTACTCTTAGTTATTGATGCATGCAAAGAGGGGAAATCCATAATAAAAATGGCGACAGACTTAAAAATATCTAGATCTAGAGTTCAAGAAAACATTCGACAAACATCATATTTGTATGAAAAAAATTGAGAAAAACGTATAAAATTATGATCTGGTAGAAGAGGCAGAGATATATTAAATGAGTATCCTCCAGAATGTAGCCTCAAATTTCAAGGATTCGCAAATGATTAATCTATAGATAAAAACTTTAGTTCTTTGGTCTATGTTTAACATATTTTATAAGGTCAAAATATATCCTTCAAAAAAAGGAAAAGCTTGATTGGACAATTAAATATTTGATCTAGAATTCCGATAAAAGAAATCAACTGGTATTTAGAGATTAAACCTGATTTGAAAGAAAATACAATAACTAGTAATAATCTTGTATTGAGAAAGAAAAATAAGTTGAATCTGAAAGATTTCTCAAAATTCAATTATGATTAGGGGAGGCCGTGGCATTTCCGCATTCATTTTGCTTTTTGGAGAAAGAATCATTTTAATCAAATATGTAAGTTAGAGTCTTTTACCTCCTATGATTTTGGAGTTATAAAAATTAATTAATTTCTTTTAGCAATTTTTCCTAACACCCGGGGTAATGTTGCAATTAATTTTACAGATATTTAACATTTTAAACAAAAGTTAACAATTTTATTACATGCTAAGCAAAATATCAATTATCAAAACTGCAAAATAAAAAATAAATAATGTTGGCAGATTTATAATTAAATACATAAAAGTAACATCATGTTTATTGAATATTTTTTTAACAGGAAATGTAAATAAATGCGTATTTTAATTTACCAATTAACAAAATGTTTTCTTTTCCGCAAAGGAATATACTTTTTAAATGGATCCCCATGTTATTCATCAAAATTCGTAAAAAATGATTGTTAGATCATAGAATAAAGATATTGGAATGTTCTTCAAAAAGTCTCGACTTTAATCAAATAGGAAATAAATGGGGAATTATTCAGAGATATTCATGAAAGCATCTTCCTTATGTAAAGATAGATTTTCAAATAATATTTCAGCAGATCCAGAAACTTATCAAAATTAACTCGTTTCCAGTTGGAATAATTTGGATATTCAAGCAAGCGCTGACTTAAATTTTAGAAATAATGAAAGTTTTTGATTCATAAATTTATGTAGTGGTCGTTTTTTATTGAAACAAACCCCAATTTTTAATTTCAATATAATCCTGATATGGGCAATAGTAAAAAAAAAATTCATTTGTACTCTTTTTAAACTTCCAGATTGGGGGTTGGGTAACAGAAACACCATTCTTTTCATTGCCATTTCTAAAAAGGTCTCTACGACAGCCTAAGCATAGTGCTATAATTAATTTAATCCAATGGCATATAATATTTGTAATTCTCTTGAAGTTGGCCTTAACACATTGTATAACAAAAAGAGAGATGGATATCTCGTGGGAGAGGGTTACCTCTTGCTTGGGACTTTATTTGCATAGACTAATTTCCCATATTAAATTCCTATAAAATCTATCATTGGTTTAAAATAAAGAAACAAATATCCCTTCTTAAATAAAGTAATATTTGTACCCATGGTAACCCAAACTTACCAACTTCGGACATAGGTCCCTTTCATTTTAAAAATGCTTTAAAAAAATTATCAGCTATCTCTATTAACGTAAAGGAATTTTTTTTATTTGAGACAAAACATAGGGATAAGAAATATGCAGATCAAATCTATTTCCTATCCACAATTCTATGTAATATTTTTTAGAATTTACATTTTTTTTATAATGGCGCACTATTTTTATTTTTTTCATATATATTTATTTCACCCACCGTTAACATATTGGCTAGTTTAATAACTAGTTAGAGGTTTAGCTAGTTAATAAAAAATATATAATTAAAGAAATGAGGGGGGGGGGGGTTATAGAAGCAGACCAAAAGGGAGAGAGAATTTTATTAAAGAAAATCAAAAATGGTATTAAGTTCGGATAAAAATTAAGATATAATATCTTCTAAAGAAGAATCTTGAAAAAAATGAGAAAAGTGTAAAATTCGAAAATTAAGAAAAATCAAGTTAATTATTTAAAAAAATGGATGAAAAAATATAATTGTAGCGGAAAACGGATAAAAATTAGATAAAATTTTTAAAAAAAATACCCCAAAAATGGGGGGGGGTCTAAATAAAGGAAATGAGAGTTTAAGTTTAAAAAAATTAAAATAACTAAAATGAGTTGAAATTGACTAAACATAGGCGAAAATGGGAAAACCCAGGTTAAAATTATAATAAATAAAATAGAGAATATACAAGCCTTCATTTATATTTTTAATTTCTAAAATTAAAATTGAGGTGGTCGTTTTTTATTGAAGCAGAGTGTTATATAGGTATTTTTAATTTCATTATGGATTGAAATTAAAAGAAAATAAAACATAGACGAAAATAGGAAAACTCAGGTTGAAATTGAAAAAAATAAAATATGAAAATATACAAGCCTTCATTTTTTTCCGGTCATTTTGTTATGAATGGCTGATATAATATTTTATCAAAAGATAATATAATTAATTTTTCATAAGATAAAGTTAATGAAGGTGAAAAATATAAATATATAATTTACGAAAAAGGATAAGGGATAAAAGAATGAAAACTAGGAAAGAGAAGGGAAAAAGGAAAGCATAGACATGGAAGATTTTTCAATTCTTTTTTTAATTTCTTAATTATGAATTGAAAGTGGTCTTTTTTTTTATTTAAGCAGAGTTATATAGGTATTTTTAATTTCCTTGTCAAATAATTTTGATTGCCCTTTTGTTTAGACACAGTATCGGTTATCATAAACATAATATTTGGGTGAATTATTTATACAATAGTTGATTAGTGTTTGAAGTTTATAATGATATGAATATGTTAAAGCAAATGGTAGCATAAATTATTGCTACAATATGTCGTATTAAGATATGGAATCATATGGGATTCGGAATCCCAACGTGGGGATTCAAGATCTTGAATCACCACGTTTTATTATGGATCTTTTTTTTAAATATTTTTTTTTTAAAATATTTAAAAAATATTCCGAATCCCCATGAAAAAAAAAATATAATTACTTTTTCTTCTCTTTTTTGGGGCTGGCACCATATAATTAAAAGGCCAAAATAAGAGATTTAAAAAGAGAAAATTAAAATGCCAAAATAAGGGATTTATTAAGAGAATTTAAAATATGTATAAAATTAAAAAATATAATGAATGAAAAGGGATGAGGTTAAGACTTTTTTGTTTTAAAAAATATATTTATAAAAATCCGAATTATTGCAACAATTATTCAATGCAATTTGGCATTTCGTTGAACATTTAAGCAGGGACCCGAACCGTTATTTATAACGGTTCAGTTTGGTTACGGTACGGTTCAGTATATAAAAAATTTTAATGGTTACGTTTTGGTTACGGTTCTTGAGAAGAAATTTATATAAAGGTTCCGTTCGGTTCAGCTAATTATAAAGGTTCATTACGGTTAGAATTTTTTTTTTATTGAAGCAACACCATCTTCTAATTTATTTTTATTATAAGCATCTATGAATTATATATAAAAAAATATATAAGATTCAAAATAACTCATTTTCAAATATATTATTTGAACTTATAAGTTATATATTTTCAAGTATAAATGGATTTTTTGTTCGTTGTGACGATAACACAAAAAGCCCTTTCTACAGAAACTTGTGTTACGGGAACCGCCAGTACTATAAGAGCAAGCACGTTTATATAATTCTGGATATTCAAATTATTTCCATTTCTAAAATATAAAAACTGAACCGGTTTAACCGTTTTTTATAAAGGTTCTTTTTACTCCTTCAAAAAATAATTATATCGGTTCTACGGATGGTTCAGATATTTATAATAAAAAAAAATATTTAAGGGGATTCGGAATCTTTTTTTAAAAAAAACAAATAAATTATATTTTTTTGCCGCCTGGCTGGCTGGCACCAGAAAATTTTATTTTTTTAGAGATATTTAATATGTATTACTTTTATGCTTTAAATCATTAAATACTCGCGGTGTTTTTAAATTTTTCAAAACTTTAATGCTATAATTTTTTACACTTTTTTGAATTTATTTCTTTAATTCCATATCCATAATAACAAAAAATAAATACATATTATAAATCCAAATTTTTACTTAGAAAAAGAAGAATGTCTATTTTTTTTATTTCAATTTTGTACGCCTTTCCTCTAATAGGCGATTGTGACTAGAAGCCAAATTTGCCAGGGCTGACAAAATTTTACTCTCTAATTTTCTCAAAAAAGGAAATAAATTTTCCTGCTTCCAAAACTTCAAAATATTGCCATTGTTATTTGTTTTATTTTTTAAAATTTTATTTTGATAATATTGATATTGGTATAATTTTTTAAAAAATGATAAAACACTAAAATATTAAAACTATATAAAAATAGGTAAAAATATATAAAATTACTAAATAAAAATATATATTGGTCCTTAGCCATTTTTTTAAAAAACATTTTGATAATCTCAACTTAAAATTTGTTAGTTGTTATAAATAATTTAGTTTTAACAATCTCTAAATGAGTCTGACCTTATTTGGCTCAACCTAAAGATACTTAGTATTTTTCCTTATTCATAATTGATTTTTAAAAACGGCTAACTCAATATTACATCCAGAAAAATAAACCATTATAATTTTTTATATACTGAACCGTAACCAAACTGAACCGTTATAAATGTTCGGGTCTCTGCTTAAATGTTCAATGAAATGCCATATTGCACTGAATAATTGTTGCAATAATTCGGATTTTTTATAAATATATTTTTTAATATTTTTTAAAACAAAAAAGTCTTAACCTCATCCCTTTTCATTCATTATATGCCTTAATTTTATACTATTTACTTTTTTTATAATTCTCTTTTTAAATCCCTTATTTTGGCCTTTTAATTATATAGTGCCAGCCTCAAAAAAAAGAGAAGAAAAAGTAATTATATTATTTTATTTTTTTCATGGGGATTCGATTTTTTAAATATTTTTTAAAAAAAGATCCCGAACAAAACGTGGGGATTCAAGATCTTGAATCCCCACTTTGGGATTCCGAATCCCACATGATTCCATATCCCAATACGACATATATAATATTGTATATTCTCAAAATATTATTTTTATTACACAATTATATTTTTAAAATTACATATTTTATTAATATAACTTAATAATTTAATTTTTTTTAAAAAAAAATTATGTTAAAATTTCACATTATTATACTCATATCCATGATGTATTTCTTTCTTTTGGAGATAATTAATTAAATAAAATTGAATACCTTTTTTTAAAAAAAAATTACGATATATATAAAACTAGAAATAATCTTTTTGTAACAATTTTTTATTTATTTTTAGCAACAATTGATTTTCAAAATTTTGTTCAGACATAAAAAAAAAAGCTTAGTACTCAAAACAGCTTTCGCCGTGCTAAACACACGAGAGCTGTATTATATTTAATAAATAAAAATTTTAATTAGGGGAATTTATTAAAAATACTTAAAGAATTATTTTTATTTTGAAAAAAGCTTAATAGATCATCTTCAAAAGGATCTTCATTCTCTTACTCATCAAAAAAATTTAACTTATCAAAAAATATTTATGTGTGTTGGATAAATTGAGTCTGCTCTTTCTTTATCAAGATCTTTTCTCAAACTGAAAATAAGTTCTAGAATTCTTTCTTTGTTGACCTCTAATTTTATCCAGGGCCAATCCAATTTAAATAGCCGGTGAATTATTGCAGATAGTATATATTCATCCTTATAGATGTGTTTGAATCTATTGAAAAGATAATCAAAATAGTGATATATCCAAATGTATTTTTTCTTTGCTCTCTAAAATTGAAAGAGCCGTATCAATCGGTTTCATAACCTTTAAAATCACATATATACATATAATATTTCTTGATTAACATTAACCATATAATATTCATCCATGAACGACTTGTTATCTGAAAATCTATGTAATTCAGATTTATCACAAGATTTGTCAAATTTTTGACAATTCTCCTTAATAAGACTATCTATTAATTTCATAGAGTTCCAAAAAGAGTTCTATCTTTTTATAACCGGTTTAATCCGATATCTTCCCATGTTTTCCTTAAAAATGGCTGCACAGTTTGAAGATTGCCCATGTTTATTCCACAATAGCTTACACTTAGAAAATGTAATTTCTGAAATGGTTTTAAAATGGACATCGTTACCTGCCTTTTCAATGGCAACACCTGCAAAGAGATTTAAAGTGTGTGCTGAACAGGAATGATGCTTAGGTAATTATACAATACTATCATTAGTATTTTTATTTTCATAGATCAAATAATGGCAGAGGAATTATTTCATCATCCGATTCCTCTCCTTGTTCATATACTCGAATAAATTTTTTAATAAATATATTATAATTTTTTACTCGAAAGCTTTGATATAATTTCTAGCATTGTCGGTAATACATTTGGTCACTTTATTTTGTATCTTATATGTGGTAAAAATTTCAAAGATTATTTTTGCTAGATAATCAAATGTGTTTAAAATAATAATATATTAATTCATCTTTTTACCTTCAAATGCTTTTTTTAATTTGAATTGCTGGACGAGGTTGAAATATCAACGTTGGGACATAATTTACTTACAAAGTGTAGACTTTGTACCCTTATTATTTGGGTAAATTTCAAATTAGGGTCAGGGAAGGGTTAAATCATCTTCATCTGAAGAAGTAAGTATTATGGACATAATATTTTTAAAATAAATATTTAAATAGTAACATTTACTTTGAATTTTGATGTGAAAAAATTTAAAGTAACGTTTTGCGTTACCGTTACTCAAAAAAAGAAACGCGTTACCGTTACTCTCTACCTCTAGAAGAAGGTAACGAATGGCGTTACTTTACAGTACTACAATTAAATATACAAATTGACATGTATAATATAATAGTTAAAATTAAGTAAATTAAAAAAGATATAGGGAATTTAAATCATGGCTTGCCATGAGTTATACTTTGCAGGAGTGATTGAAATTCTTTGTTGAAAATAAAATCCTTCATGTGTTTTTGACTAAGAGTTTTGAAATATACAAAAACGTTGGTACAGAAGGAATCAACGATATAATTAAAATAATTTTATGCTTATAATTTATTTTCTAAATTTTATTTCTTTGTTATCGACAAAATAATTATGAACAATCTACAGCTTAAACACAAAAGATTTGGACAAGTTACCTTTCTCAGAACGAATAAAATATCAATCTCCTGAAAGCTTAGATTATCCCGTTAATTCGACATCCAAGGATCCTTACAGGAATGCTTTAACATGGATAAAGGGAGAAAAAGAAACAAAAGAGAAGTAAGCAAATTATGAAGGAAATAAAACTCAGTTTACATTTTGACTTAGATCTGAATATAATTATTTATTTAAGAAAATATTAATTTATTAATATAGATGATGTACTAATATTAAACTCATTAATATTTTTAGTTATCTGTTAATACCACTGACTTGCATGCATCAAAATTTTAGGCTTTGTCCGGATATAAAAAATTAAATTTAGTTTCAAGCCCTGAAAATTGTTTCAAGGTAATTGAAAATATGAGCAAAAATGAATATTAAACTCTCCATTATAAAATTTTCCAACATTTTCTCACTAATTAATTGATTTGATATAATTTTAAGAAAAAACTTAAAAATCGGGTCAGCTCGAATTTCTAATTTTTGTAAAGTTTTTAAACCGGACCCGCTCGAATTTTTAAATTCATATCATTTTTCGTACGTTTCGGGACTGCATGGTAGTTCAGATTAATATTAAAACGAGTTTATGCTAATTTTTAAACTAATTTATACAAAAAATGGAATTATAAATCAATCAACTAATTTAACATAATAAAATAAGCAGCAACAATAAAGAACAATCTTTGGTTAGATCCCCCGAAGCTTTGGATTTAAACCAGCATCCTAATTTTGTGGAAACAAAATATTTATCTCCCGATGGCTTAGATCGTCCTCTCGATTCCGGACTCAACGATGCTCCTGGGCCATGGTTAGAAGGGAAAGAAAACCCCCACAGTTTAGTTATACCGGTAGATTCCGATTTCAAAAATGACTCCCGCGGGAATTCAGATAAATGGTTAAAAGGGAAAGATAAACCTGAAGACTTGGATCGCCCGATTGACTCCGATTTCAAAGATGGAACTCAAAAATATTCGGAAATATGGTTCAAGGGCAATGCAGAATCGTCCGAGCAAACTGATCATATTCTAAACGGACTCGTTGACGATACGCTAACCGAAAAAGATGATAATAGGTTAAATGGGAAGTTAGAATAAGGGAAAGTTATAGACCGACGCCAGATCTTATAATTGATCGTTTATACAAAAATGCGAAAAATTTTACCACCTTATGACTAATTTAGTCCTTTTACAGCTCGGTCAGGATCAAATCCGAACCATAACCTTTAGCTCAGTAGCGTAGACAATATTTATTTAAGAAGGGGGTTCATTTTTTTTTGGGGGGGGGACTTCGCCCCAAAATCCTAATTTGCCTGGTGTCTGGCCTAGTCCCGTCTATGAAAGTTATTCATAAGGTCATTTTAGATTTTCAGATGGTTATTTTTATTTTGCTTTTTTGAAACAATATGTAATATCTTTATATTATCTCCGTTAAAGTTGGCTGAATTGGAATAATTCTAAAATATATGCCAATGATTTATGTTTTATTAGTGCTTATCTTTAACCAGTACAATAGATATTATAATAAAAAATTATTAACAACCAACCTTACGATTAAAAAGCCACTGAAACCATTTATTCTGAATATTTTATCAAAGATTAGCGCTTAATCGTATATTATTTTCTTTGGTAGACAGGAGAAAAAGTTAATGGTAAAAAAATTAGCATCATGCCAGAATGGACAAAAATTGCTTATGTCTATTATTTCTTCAAACAATTTTGAGAAACATAAAAAAGAAATGGATGAGCAAAATGAAAACTATGATGTCGCGAGTTTAGATGTGAAGTGGAAGTACAAATTCTGAAACAACCATTAAGTAGTGCTTAAAACATTTTATTGTTTTAATCTGTTTGGTAAATGATAATAATGAAAAAAATATTTATATAATAAAAAAAAAGCCAAAATTGATAATATAGAAGTGCTATGCATTAATATTTAGTGTCTTATTTATAAATTCTTCAATAAATTTCGCTAATCACAAAAAGGTAAAACTATTATATTGCACTTTAAACGTGAAGTTAGCCAAACTTCTCGAACTTAACTCTTAACTTAATAAATAATTTGTATAATTAATACATTTTAGTGCTTAAATCCGTTTGAGATAATTTAAAGAAAAACTTAATATTGGCTAAATAAAGAAAAATTTGCATCATTTAAAACGAAAATTATGGAAGCGTTGAATATCTGAGTGTGCCAATATTAATAACTGATTAGTATACTTATTATTCATCAATCGATTTTTTCAAGTGGCGAAATAAAACATATAACGGCAGCCTTAGTCTGAGTAAAAATTGGAATCGCGATTCAAAGTCAATTACATCTAAATTCATTAAGGATTCTTTTTCTTTGATTCCATAATCTTATTTACGATCCTTTTAAGTATTATCTGTTACTTTCAGTATATTTAATAGATATAGAAGTAAATTAGTTGGAATAAATATTTTGAAGCGAGTTAAATTTTCGAAATATTGATATAAATTAGAATCGTAATCTCATATTAAGAAGCACTCTTGCCAAGCTTTTGGAAGCGCTTCTAAAGCTTAAGCCAATATTTAATGCTTAACTCAGTTTAGGTGACTACCGTGAATACCTGTATATAGAATATTCGTTTGTATCTTGTACTCTGTAACCTTTTCATTTATAATAAGATATTTATATCTGTATCTATTTGATTTTATTGTTTTTCTTTCTTTCCTATACCGTATTTATAATTAATATTTGTTATTTATTTTATATTTTGGCATTCCAACTTTATTGTTTATGCAAATTAGATAATTTTATGATTTCGTCCACCATGTTTATATTAACATTGCATCAAAATAATTATCATATTTTATAGGGTGGAAAAAGTATATTTATTTATATTTCACTGTCCATTTTGGATTGCCTTTGGACACAGTAATCTTGATATAAAAATTGTTATATTTTGTTAATTTCCATTTGTTGATTATATTTATTTAAAATAATTTTTATACTGATATCGCTTAGGTTTTAGTTATATTTATATAAATCACATTATAAGAATATTTTATACAATTTAAAATTTTTTGGATAATTCTTATGAGGAAAAACACAGAATTTAATGTCATTTTGAAATTTTTCCTTTATCTCGTTGAAACCATCATCATATATATATATCATAAATATTTATGTATTTCTGTTGGTTGGTTTATACATCTTTATCTGTATTCTTATTCTTAGGTCGCAATCTTTATCTGTATTCTTATTCTTAGGGCACACACAATTCCAAGCGATGATATTCATTTGAACCACGGGATTATATTGACCTTCTTGTAACTTTATGATTTATTGAGCAGGAGATAAATCTTTTCATAAATAGTTTATATTAAAGATACTCTTATTTAGCTATTTGATATTTATAGAAGATACGGTACATTTTTTGATTATGAATCTTTTTATGTCTGATCTAGAGACCTTCATGGGCCTGTCCTGGATTTTAAAAAAAATTTTGGTTTTGGGCCTAAAATTATTAAATTTAAATTTTGATTTATTAAAAGTTGTTAATTTAAAGAAATATTGCCTTTTTTCCTTCTAATAATAATAAATTTCAGTATTGTAAACAAAATGATCGCCTAAATATATTTAAATATTGTTTACTTTCATTAAATAAAAAAAAAATTTGGATATGGGCTTGGGCAGGGTTTGGGAAATTTATCATGGGCTTGGGCCGGACTTGGGAATTTTTTTTAACATTAAATATGGGCCAGGCTTGAGCCTAAAAAAATTTTTTACTGCGGGTATGGGCCGGGCTTGGTTAAAAAATTAAAGCCCATGAAGGTCTCTGGTTTGATCTAGAATCTTTTTAAAGATCTGCCCAACTCTGTTAACTAGTATGAAAAATATAGAAAGCAATAAAGTAATTTTAATAAAAAAATTTAAATACACGAAATATATAAAAAAATTAACATCATTATTATAAAAAATTAACTTTTAATCATATTCAAGATTCCACCGCTAATAGGCTCACCTATGAGCTAGATATAATTTTTTTAAAATGCTACTTTTTATATATTACGATAATTCATGGAAATGTTGCTTTTTTCTAAAAATTATGTAAAAATGGTAAATGACAGCTGTGCACTAGGACTATTCAAACGAATCGAATAGTGCATTATTCTTACTCGCGTAACCAATCAATATTCGTATTCGTACGAATAATAAAATTTAATATTTGTTTTCAATTTTAATAATCCTTATTATTCAAATGATTGGAATAAATTTCCATAATAAAGTAAATCATACTCAAATATATTGACAATATTTTTATTACTAATTTGATTTCAAATAGAAAAAATTATTATAATAATCTAATGATAAAAAATATATAATATCTGATGATAAAAAATATGTAATCAAGTTATATATAAAACTAAAAATTTATAATTCTAAGCCAATTTTTAAGGCAAAGAGTTTTTCTTATATTTTCTTCCTTATATAACATGCTATTTTTTACAATAAATTAGTTCCAACTGATAAAAGCCTTTAACAAGCAGTTGATGTTCCTTGCAAGGATAGGTAATCCCTTGCCATTTTCAAGAGTATGAGGACCCGATATATATTTGACTTCCACCAAATCGGGTCATTATCACTATTTGCTCTTGGCTCACTCAGATGAAAATCTCATACAATTGAATATTATTTTGTTTAACAACAATATCTAGCCTGTTAGGTTAAATTTCATCCTTATTGGCAGTCGTAATTATCAGCTTATAAAATAAATTCATATTTATTTAAATAAGGGTAAATTAAATACCTGTTATTAATCTAATGGATATTTTAAAGAAAATGTATCAGTATACATTTTATTATTTATTGCATTATCAAAGTTATAATAAAATTTTTATTCTTCAAATTATAATTTTAAATTATTTTAACAAAGGCTTTAAATATATTTTCCCTGAATGTGCTTCATTTATTGGAGCAACATCCAAAATTATGTTATTTACTTTAAAATTATCATCAATAAAATGGGCAGTCAACAAAACGGGCAGTTAACCCTAAAAAAGGAACCTGTGTTGGGCTAGTGCATACTCTATCCGAGACATTGGAGCTTATTGCAAGATATGTATCCTGTTTGGCCCAAGATATGATGGAAGAAATTTAGTTAAGCTTAACAGTCTTATTAAAACACCATTCATCAAGTACAAAGATGCTGGAGTAATCTTTGACAATCATAAAAAAACAAATTATCATAAAAGCTGTGAACTGATGATTTCTTCAAATTAATTCAAAGTGGGAATATGATTCCCATTTCATCCCATATTGACAAAAATAGAATTAAAATAGCAAAAGAAAATAGATGTAGGATCAAACCTATTGCTGAAGTCATTCTATATTGTGGATTGCAAGCATTACGTGGCCATTTGGATTCAGGAAGCTTGAATAATAATGATAATGAAGGTAATTTTCGTGGTCTTAAAATTTAAAGCATTAGGGAATTCTGCATTAATGGAGACAAAATATTTTAAACAGAATTATTTCTGAAACTCCTTGTCCAACAAGGAGAAAGAAATTGCAAAAAGCTTGTCCAACGAGATGGAGTCTTAGCCACGAAGCAGTAACAGCTTTTATGGAGTTAGAAGAGCCGATTATTAATGCTCTTACAAATATCACAATGGCCTAAAAGAGATATTTTCTCGAAGCAAGCAAATTATTAGATTCAATACTTATACCAATTTTTTTTCTCCATAGAATGTATCAATAAATTATTTATTAATATTCATAGGCATTTGACGCCAAGCACGGATGAGAAATTTGAAAAATTAGCTCAATCCCAACGAAGTTGGATTTTACATTATAAATATAGTAGGCTTTCTAATAGTATTATTTGTGCACATTTATTTTTTAATGTGTTATATATTTTTTCATGAATACTTTATAAGTTATTACATACAAAATACAATTATTCCTAAGAAACTTGTATATTAATTTATATTTCCAACATTTAAATTTTTTATACCTATTTATAAATTTTAAAGGCTCGAAAAGTTAAATTTCTATTTTGGGTCATTTATTTTATAATGGTTCATATTCTGGTTATATACACTTTATAATTCACATTTATTTTATAGTTTTTATATGCCAATTCACATTTATTTTATATGCCGGTTTATATATTTAATTTTTTATAATTCACATTAATTTAAAATTGTATATTAGAAATAGTTATTAGTCCTAATAAATTTAAACTTGATATTTTTAAATAACAATAATTTTATCTTAAAAAATAATTATCCCCCCCCCCCTCCCTCAGCAAATTCCTGCGCACATAAACATATCTTTAAAAGTAATTTTTTTAGATAAAAAAATTAGTGATGTGGACTTTAAAAAAATGTCAATTTTATTTGAGGTGTGAATGGAACCTATTATAATGATTAATAAGAGGGGATATTGTTTTGCTTTTACATTTTATAATGCTCTTGCAATGTTTGCAAGTAGGCTTTTCACCGTCTTTATTGATTTGATATTGATCCCATTTAATCGCTCTTTTTTATTAGGAAATTTTGTCAACTTCAACATCGTGCATATCTATTTCATCAGAAGCATTCTCCTCTATCATAATTAGGCGAATAACAATATTTTATTGTAGAGATATATTATATTTTTATATACCTTTACTTTGTGTAATTTTTTAATATAATTTATTATGAGATTCAAAAAAATGCGGCAAATAAAAATTTAAATATTGTTTCAATTTTCACTTCAGAGATTTTTAAATTTGTAGTCTTTTTATAATCACATCACCTGTCAGGTTTTCAGATAGAAATGACAAATGTTGGATTTATTAAATATTACGAATTATTCGATAATTCGTATTATACGGATCGAATAAATGATTTCTTATTCGGATAAAACAATAATTTATTATTCGTATTCCTAATTATTCGGTTCGAATAATTTGATTTTTTTTGAATAGGCCTATTGTCCACCCTCAGAAACCAATGAATTATGAATTAATAGACTTTTTCCTCGATAAAATTATATTTTTAAAAACAAGAAATTACTCGTGAATATTTTTTAATAAACCCATAGCTCGATGATGATTTCCTCAGACACCGACAAAAATGGAGAAACCCTTAAGAATTCGAAAGTAGAAAAATCTCCCTACTTGAACCATTCATCGTTTCCGCCAAAAGTTTATGATAAAAAAGCGGCCGAATCCCACAATAGTCAAAAAGCTTTACTATTAACCGATTCTACACAGTTAATGACTGCTGGTACTATAGGGAGCATGGGCCTAATTACGTTCGTAAAACCTAAGAGTGTGACAGTTGATAACAGACCTCATCTCGAGGAGATAAAACATTCTTGTTGCGATTTGGCTAAGATTCGCTGGTCTGAAATAACCCGGTTACAGGAAGTTGTGAATGAATTTCAATCAGGTTTGATAAATCATGATTTTTTTATAAATTCGCAATATTCGAATAAATAAGGTAAAAGACCCGACGGAACTCAAATGGGTTGAACAAGGTGATTTAAGTTTTCTTTCATGTCGAACTCGGACTCAAGCCCAAAATATTTAAATTATTTTGTTTATTTTAATACCTTTTTTAAATAATTGGTAAATTTTTTTCATATTCTTTTAAAAAAATTCGAATTGAACTCGGACCTAAATCTTTTCCCTTTTGGTGGTTATCTAGTCTGGAATTTTTGGCTCCTTCGACATTCTGGCTTTCACGTTCGTATCCAATCGCTATTATCATGGTGTTATCGGAATCGAATCGGCACCATATTATTTTTGCGAAGAGTATTGAATCGGCCTTATATCATTTAAAAAACAATCTGATCAGATTTTTTTTAAATAACAAAATAATCCGGCAATAATTTTACATTTTTTTTTGTTTATTTTAATAAGAATGAGTTGAAGAAGGAATGTAAATACAATATAAAAAATAAAAACTCCATTTTTCAAATGTAAAAAACAGAAAAAAACATGATTGCATTTATTTCCAAATTTTAAAACACTCAAAAATTAAATTGATAAAATTTTCAATAATATTTTGGCAGATTTTTTTTATTTAATTTGATTATACATTGTGTGCAGTAAGATTGAGATTTAGAGATCTGCAAATCTCAGCTCGCGGGCCGTGCAAATTTAAAAAAAAATTATAACGGGCCTTTCCTGGCAAAAAATTTAATTCCAATATTTTAATAACCCCCCCCCCCCCTCCACCTTATATTCCCCCTTTAAATTGTAGAAAAAGTTGTGACATATGCTAATTGCCTGGTGGGACAATTTATATACAAAAATATAGGGCCGTTGCAAATCTGTGATTTTGAATTTGATAAATATTTTTTGAAATAACAATAAATAACATTGAGCTTATTTTATTTTAATAACTAACTAATTAAATTAATTATAAATAAAATAAAACATTTATTCCTTATTTTATAGAATTGGCCAGGCCGGACATTTCTTAAATTTTGATTAATACTTATTGAAAATAAATTACAATATTCTTATTTCTTTATATTTTAAGTAATCTTTAACTTAAATACCTAATTTATCAATAATATAGTAAATTCGCAAACAAGTTATTTATGATACCGGAAAATTAGTAAAAAAAAATTGGGCTCGGAGGGCCAGTCAACTTGTGTAAAATATCCTAACGGACCGGGGCTTGCAAATCTCTAATTGAGATTTATAATATATGAAATTTTCTAAAATAATTATACACTTTCTTTTTACATAATCATAAATCTTGACCTACAAAATTTAGGCAGAAAACATTTAAAATAAAAATGGAAAACATTTTGGAGTACTTATTTAATGAGAAGTTAAGGGAATATTCTGATTACATAAATAAAATCCAAATTCTTAAAATTAAAATAATAATATGATAAACAAGAAATTTTTTTAATTCAAATATCGGATTGATATCGGATCGGGTTTTAAATATATTTTCAATATCGGTTCCATATAATAATACCCATACAATACCTATACTTTAAATAGGTGAAATTAAGCAATTTTTTTTATTCTTTCTATAATTATTTTATATTTTTGGTTTCCTCCTCATTTACCAGGAAACACTTCCGTGAAAAATATTGAGAATAATGGAAAAATTGAAACATCAAACATTATATCCAATATAAATTGCAAAGAATCGAATATTCTTTCTAAAAATATACTATTTGCAGAGGCTAATATCGCTACAAATTCTGATGAGTCTAAGAAATCGTTTCTTAATCTTAGTGACACCGAGAAAAGTTCTTTAGACATAAAAGAGGACAATACAACAAAAATTATCAATACAGTAGAAAAAGATGAAAAGAGTCAGGATGGACGTAAATCACCTAAAGATGATGCCAACACTAAATCAACAGACGGGGAAGTTAATTCGACAATTGATGATAAAGTGTCTCAAAATTCTATTCTAGAAAATACAGAAAAGATAAACGCTAAAGTGCAAATTGCTAACGATTACTCAGCCAAACGAAATATCGAAGAAGATAATAATACAATTAACAAAGAAGACATAAAAGAGGACAATACTACAAAAATTATCAATACAGAAGAAAAGGATGAAGAGAGTCAGGGGGAACGTGAATCACTTAAAAATGATGGCCACACTAAAACTACAGATGGGGAAGTTAAATCACTAGATGATAATGTTCAAAATCTTATTCAAGAAAATATAAAAAAGGTAAACGCTAAAGAGCAAGTTGCTAACGAAAACTCTGCCAAACAAAATACCGATGAAGATAATAATACAATTAACAAAGAAGGTGAGGTAAAATTGTTGCATCATAGGATCGATTTCTCGAGTGGAAACGAAAGCAAATTGATAGCTGGTTCTTTATTGGCTGGAGCCGCTGTTGGCGGTATGTATCTTTTACACAAACCTAAGTCAAATGGGGATATAGGAGGATCCGACAAGTATGACAATGAAGTGGATACAAATCAAATAGATGAAAATATTGAGAGAAAAACGGGCAAGAAGAGTGCTCTCCCTACCAAGGGTACTAAAGAACAAATTCAATCAAATAACCTCGTGAATAATAGTAATGATGATAATCTGATTAAAACAACGAATGATGTTGATGGAAAAGGCGGAAATGACGTAAGAACTAATAATATTAGTAAATCAAATGAGGAAGTCGAGCCATTAATAATACCGAGTCACATTCAGAGGAAAGTTTCAACGGGATTGGCAAAACTTGATCAATTATCCATTGTTGAAAAGGTATAATATTTATGCAATATTTTTTTGTCCACCCCCCCCCCCCTTTATAGATAGATTATAATTTTAGATCTAATTTAATCCTCATTTTTTCAAACCTTGGCCGGGTCGAAATATTATGCCAGGACCGTTAAAATGACAATATCTTAAATATTCAGGAAAATTAATTTTTTTGAAATTTATTTGTATGCCATATAAATTTTTATCATATTTTATATTAATGTTTTTATTTGAAAAGTTTTTTAAAGATAATTTTTATTATCAAAAAACTCATTCATAATTATAATAAAATTTAATTAAAATATAGTGTATAGTGGGTTATGATGTATTCTTGGAAACAGAAGGTCCCAGGTTCAATCCTGTTAAGGAACGTAAAAAATTTCAGGTTTTTCTTCAATGACTGATGTGTAAAGACTAGACCTGTGCGCCGATGTCTCAATCAACGGTGGCGGTTTTTTTAAATTTTTTATCGGCGTTCGGCGGCGCGCCGATTCCGCCGCCGCCTACTAAATTGTCGGCGGTGGCGGCGCAATAATTATTTTAAAATTTTTTTTAATGAATTTAATTTATAAATCAATATATTTTTTAATGAATTTAATTTATTAATGTATTACATTTTTTATAATTTATTTAGGCGATCTTTTCTAACACATTGTTAACATAGTAATTGATCTTAAATTATTTCCTGTCTCACTTCAATTTAAATTTTTGTATTTTCTCATTCTCAGAAATAGACTAAGGAATGGTATTTTTACTTAGATCAGAGTCACATCAACAACACATATAAGAAATACTATATTGATTTTTATTATAATAAATTTGAAATGCAAGCAAAATATAAAGTATGATAAATAATAAGTCAGAATTCAGATTTAGCAAAATTATAATTGTCACGAATAAACAATATTTTATCAAGATTTGTGGGACATAAAATAAAGAAGTCCTTTTAGCATTGAGTATTAATCCAGCAATGGAAAATTCTTTCGCTGGGTGTACTGGTTGCAGGTATACAAAGAACCTTCCTATCTAAATTAGCAAGCATATGAATCCAGTCGCTTTTTCTTCCAAAAGATTAATTTATCCTCTTCTGGGACATTATTTTGGCTGAGCAAAATATGGCATTCTTGTTCACTAATATTGTTATAATCGTTAATAGGAAGGGAATGTTTACGAGCTAATTTAGCTATAAAAGAGCTTGATGTTTGACTATTTTCCTCAACTTGAATTTCTATCATGCTCTAAAAGTTTTAAATGTCGAATTAAAAATTGCAATGATGTCGTAGAATTCGAATTTAAATATTCTGAAACAACTTTGAGATTTTGAAATCTGGGATCAAGTAGAGTTGCTAATATCTAATGTTTAAAATATAATTTTATTAATAAAAATATAAAATAACTTGAAGTTCAGTAATGGGAAACCTATGGTAAAGTTTTCTTTTCATATTTTCTTTTAAGCATATAATATCTGAGCTATCAGATCTATTGATTTGTATATGAGCTTCTATTTCACTGCGAAATATTAACCCTAAGTTTATTGTAGATCTTTTTTGGGAGGAAAGAAATTCCACCGACTCTCGGAATTGATTTAATACGATGTAAAGCTCATCAATCATATCCCATTCATTATTAAAGAGTTTTAAAGATTGTTTTACTATTTTATTTAGAAAATTATTTATTGAAATTTTGTTTACACTGCGAACACTTTCTAGCATAATTAATATGCTGTGCCAGTAGGGCAATTTAATTTTAAAGTTTTTATATTAATTAGATTGGTTGGTGCAATGCCATTTCTATTATCCGAATCATCAGACATATCAAAATGGATCAAGGTATGGATCAGAATTATCAATATCCAAGATATTACCTGTCTCATAAATTGATTGTAGACATTCACGATGTTCAGCCTCAATTTCACATTCCAAATCAGCTACTTGATATCTGAGGGCTGAAATAATTTCTCTAATTTTTTTAATGAGATTTTCAATTTTGGTAACTTTTTTTATGCCATCAACTAGTGTTATTAAACGGCTCAATTTGAGCCGATTTTTAAAAACGGCTAACTCAATATTTTATCCAGAAAAATATTATGCAAGCCTAAAGAATTTGCTCATAGATGGCATATAGGATTGAACATCTATTGGCGAAATCTCGACGCTTAGGCATTATTTTTCTGCCTCATATGTTGAGTTAGTTGTTTTTAAAAATCGGCTCAAATCGAGCCGTTTAACAACACTAAAACTGTAACTAAATTATGAAGTCTATGCCCTAAGCATAAATGATGCTCTTAATCCCCTAATCTGACGCTTCTTTTGACATTGGCCAGTTACCATTTGTATTATTTTGGCCTTTAAATGGAACTCCTCCAATACTATCAATCTCAGATAATATTGTTTCCCCAGTATGCTTTTGAGTCACATTTCTAGTTGCTAGGGTGAAATATTTTAAATCAAAATTTTCATCTAAATGATGAAGACTAAATGTGATATAATTTCGACGCTTGAAATGATCGGTCCATAAATCAAAAGTGGTAGAACAAAATTTTAGTCCAGAATCAATCAAATTTAAAACATGCGCCTTTATAGATAAATAAACATCGTCTAGTGCACCCCGACTAATGGTTGTCCTATTTGGCAATTTTGACGAGGAATCAATTATCTTATATTTGGGCAATTTATTTTTTAATAATCATTTTATATAAATTTTAAACCTTTAGAAAATCTATCATTCCTTTATTGTTTATAGAATCAAATGGCATTAAATATAAGCAGCACATCAAAACATAATTTCGCCCTATTAGATTTCATATTTATTAAACATTAAAAAGATATTTAAAAACATCAAAATAATTAGAGCTGGAATGAAACAAATTATAAATTAGATTTAGTTTTAACTTTCAAAATAATGCTTTATATAATTAATTTAATAAATTATATATTAAGTTTGCACTTTAAAAGATATTTAAAAATAAAATAATTAGAGCTGGAATGAAACAAATTATATAAATTTGATTTAGTTTTAACTTTCTAAAATAAAGTTTTAAAAAATTAATTTAATAAATTATATATTAAATAATACTTTAAAAAGATATTTAAAAAACATAAGATTTCCAAAGTACCTCCAGACATAACTTGATTTATGATTAGTAGAGAGAGTTGTTATTTCATAATTGTATATAGGGTGGTAGTGGCGTAGACAAGGGAGGGGAGGTTTGGGGGTTGAAACCCTCCCATCACCCCTCAAAAAATTTTTTTTTTATATTTTATTTAAAAAACTGTTTCAATTTAGAAATATTATAAATAATATATACGATATTAAAATGAAATATATTTTTATGAACTAATAAAATATTAAATAACAATTAAATATATATTGTAAATATATTTTTATTGTTTAATTAGATATTTTAAATTTAATAATAAAATTTAAATTGTTAAACTAAATTTAGATAGTTTTTAAAAATTTTTTTTAATTCCCACATGGATATAAGAAAATTTTTACTAAATAAAGGTATATTTAAATTGATTTAGAAAATTTATGTAATCTGATTTAGAAATAACAAAATCCTCAAATGACGATGGTAATGGTATTCACTTTTATATCTTTTATTTAAATCTTGCAATTAGAAATACAACCAACATACTCAGGGAAAACAAATGAGTTAGCTAAAATAAAATCATCAAATGATAATGGTATAATTCTAAATTATCATTTATAATTTCTCTTAATTTTTTATAATTAGAAAAATTATGTATTATTAAAGAATCTGAGCTCTCAGTTGATTTGGCTGGAAAATCATCAAATGATGGTATGGTATTTTATAATATAATTGAGTTCTATTTTTTTATTTGTAAATTATATTTTCATTTGAGTTATTAAAATTTTGCAATGTGCTTTATTTAGTTATAACCCTTTTTTATATGAAAAGCTCATCATTTTGATTATTGTAAATTCCCAAATAATCTTTAGATATTACAACATTCACAAGCAAAGTTGGGCAGTATTGTGAAAACTTGTATCTTAGAAAAAAACAAATAATTTCCTTCTTTTAAATTTGTGATAGATAACTTGAATCTTTATTTAAGATATATTTTTAATAAACTATATTCTTTTCTTGTTGTGCTGCTCAGGTCTCAACTCTACAATTCACATTGAAATATATATTTTAAAATTTAAAAAAAAATTTAGAAAATCAATGTCCTCAAAAAGATATTTCATTATACTTAAAATTTCAGTTTAAAAATGATAATGAAAAATTGTTGGCTGTGGAAAATATTTGGGCACCTGACAAATGCTATAAATTTACATTGTCTTTGGATAAAAGAAATTTAACATTTGAAACATCGTGGCATAACAAATATAAGTGGCTTGCTTATTCAGCGGGAGCTTTTTGTAAAGTGTGCGTCATTTTTTCACCAAGATATGGTGGACCCGGGTTACATAAACTCAAAACATTGGTAAGTCAAGTATATACAAGATGGAAAGATGCTCTTGAAAATTTTAATTATCATCAACAAAATAAATATCATCTCAATTCTTGTGAGATATCTGATGCTTTAAAAGCCATCTCTATGAATCAAAAGATATCAATATCTAATGTACTGAATAAAATTTTTTTTGATATTGTTACAACCAACAGAGCCAGAATAATTATAATAATTGATGCAATCATTTGACTAGGGAGGCAGGGCTTAGCATTAAGATCTCATAGAGTATCTGCTGGCCCCTTAACACTTTCATCTTCTCATAATGAAGGGAATTTTAAGGAATTGCTGAAACTTTTATGCAACAATAATGATAATTATATAAAGATTTTTGAAAGCTCGGCTAAAAATGCCACCTACCTTAGTCCATGCATTCAAAATGAAATTATTTCCATATGCAATAAGTTTATATTGAAAGAAATTTCTACAAAAGTGAAAGCATCACCATTTTTTAGTGTTCTGGTGGATGAGACATCAGATGTTGGAAACATAGAGCAATTATCCATAGCAATAAGGTTTATT